ACAATGACTAAGGCACATGTGACATATCAAAGACTTTTTCCAGCGCTCTTCACATTTTCCAGATTCATCGCATCTGTTTTCATTTGTCTTTTCGTGCGCTACACGTTTCCTTTGTGGTGCTCAGACTCAGAATCATACGACATCCTTGAGATAATAGGGGAAATGGTCAGCTCATCACTCTGTGTGCAAAAGACTCATCTTGGACGAGCTGAACGCAAGGCTTAATGCTAATCCCTTTTCCGGACGCTGGCTTGCAGCGAATTAGTGCACAGCGGCTTCGATCCTTTAATGGAGAAGGAAGGTACACAAGGGACTGCAACTGCTTGCACTATTACTAAAGCGGCAAATAATTTTTACAACAAGACGAAGAGGTACTGAAAGAAGAAACAACAAGGAGAAACTTACAAAAGGAACTTAAGTGACAACTGTACTACTAAGAAAAAGCAAGACTATAGTTGATTGTCATGTTTTTGTGGGTGTCGTTACATACATGCACCTCGAGGCAAAAGTAACAAGAGCTCGTCGTCTTTTCGTAAAGGGGGCATTCGTAGTGCGGGTTATTGCTCAACTAACTTATTCAACAAAGTTAAAATAGCAGTCAATATCGGAAAAAAGGAACGTTCTTGACATAAATGAGATTACGGCAGTTCCTAGAACCTAAAATAATCAACTGAAAAGAAAAACTTTCGTTAACAAAAGAGATTTCCAACCTCAACTAAATTTAGTCTTAATTATGCACCAAGGCAAACAATCATTTGCTAAATTTTCACTGGTTCTTTTCCTTAACATTTTAAGAAACCTGGACCTTGGAGCAGTCCTCTTATATGCACATATTCTATACGTTAAAATTGGATAAGAAAAAGATGTATAGAGGAATTCGCTTGTTGTGTTCTGTTATACAAAGCACAAATTACGCTTTTCAAGTTCCCCAAGGAGCGGATAGGGTAGGTTGGAGAAATAGAAACTCATGATACATATTTTGCTAATCATGTTAATACGAAATGATTGTCGGCATGAGCATTCATTTTAATTTTAACTTGAAGGTAACTTTATATACTTCAATTATGCGATATTTTTTTCATTTGGCCACTTTTGAAAAATTCTTCCGCCCTTTATAGGTAATGGGAGTTGTCATCGTATAAACTTTCGCTAATTCTGTGGACACTCATGTTCTGCACTTGCTAGTGGCGAATGTTACAAGAAAGAGTTGTAAGTATAGTACATTGAAGAAGTAATCTGCATGAGTTAGCTGCAAAATTACCTTGTGATTTTTAAAACCTAGAAAAACTAGCAAATTTAACTGCAAACCAGAATATTAAAGATTCTTACGAGAACCTTAGAACTGAAGGCTAATTTCCTAACTTTTGTATGCTAGGTAAATAACCAAAGGGAAAGGCTGGCTACGATCACTTTTCTGAGTCCGCATTTATGTTGCAGAAAAAATGTGAATGAGGTGAGGGACTTCCAACTCTTTAGGTTTTAGTGTTTCTCCAAGGAACACATCAAGTCACGTATTTCTGCATAACACACTTCTAGAGTTTAAAATTAGTAATCGCTTAAGATACTTTTTCTTAAAAGACTTGAGATGATTACATTCATATATTATTTTAGAAAAATAAATTGAATCAACTTATTCATGAGATTTTGGTTGCACTTATTAAAAACATTAAATTACTAACCATCGTTTCATTTTTCGAATGCTGTCAAGGATTGCGTACTGATGCCATCTTTTCAAAAAGTTGATCAAACCACGACGCCCACCGCATCGATCAGCTGGCAGCTTATCAGCGTTCCCGGCGTGCACGAATGTCAGATCTTGCAGAACAACACCGCTAAAAAGTGATTATGTCATTTGGAGGGGAGTTTTCAGTGTGTAGCATCTTTCCTTGAAAAGATATTTTGCACTTAACTAAAAACACCAACGTTCCGACAAGACCTACAAGCGCCGAAA